CTGCCCTGATTGCTGCCTATTTTCCTGAGATACGACCAACATGGACTATAATATGGTTGAAGGTAGGGAGCGACTCCTCGTCTACAGCCAGGCTCTGTTGGCAGGTCTCAAGGTGGCGGCTCACCGACCTACTAATATGGCCAAAGCTTATGATGTCAGACAGGGAGGAAGTGAAAGTCCGGCAGCATATCTTGAGCAGCTCATGGAAGCTTTTAGTCAATATACCCCGTATGATCTTGAGACCCAGGAGTCGGCTCAGATGATTACGTTTGTCTATATAAATCAAGCTGCACCAGACATAAAGCGAAAGTTGCAGGCTCTAGACAGACTTGGTGAAAAGTCTATTAGGGATCTAGTAGCCATGGCAAAAAAGGTTTACAATAAGAGAGAGACGGAGGAGCAAAGACAGAAAAGGAAGGACAGAGAAGTTGAGTGTGAAAAGAGAGACCGAGCCAAGGAAAAGAGGCCAGACTTGTTGCACTCACCACTATTGCATGCCGAGCATACCTGGTTTACAGGTGGCAACAGTTTCACTCGAGATAGAAAAAGGTATGCGGGCGCAGCAGTCAGCACGGACACTGAGATAGTGTGGGCAGAAGCACTCCCCCAGGGAACGTCTGCACAAAGAGCAGAACTAGTGGCACTAACAAAAGCCCTACAAATGGGAAAAGGGAAGAGACTAAACATGTACACGGACAGTCGGTATGCTTTTGTCACCGTGCATGTCCATGGAGCCATTTACCAAGAGAGGGGGCTGCTGACAGCTGAGGGAAGACTATTAAAAACAAACAAGAAATTTAAGCCTCATCTTGGCCTTATGGGAACCAGCAAATATTGCCATTCTGCACTGCCCTGGCCATCAAAAGGGAACTGATTCTATAACCAAGGAAGTAACTTGGCCGATCAGGCAGCTAAGGAGGCGGCCCTCCAGCCCAGAGCGGAAGTACTGACTCTAGTAGACCCAGGGCCACGAGCTTTGCCTCCTGAACCTCAGTACTCCCAAGAAGACTTGGAGTGGATAAAGAAAATTCCCATGGCTTATAAACCCCCAGACAAAGAAGGAAACAAAGACTGGTGGAAAACTGGTGAGGGGAAACTTATCTTGCCACAAAGATTGGGCAAGGGGATTCTTAAGAGAATCCATCGGGCCTCTCACATGGGAACCCGAAGAATGCAGGACTTGCTCCGACACTCGGAAGTAAAAATTAGGCAAGGAAATCAACTCATTGAGGACATTGTTAAAAATTGTAAAGCCTGTCAGCTCACCAATGCCCCCAATCAACCTATTATAAAAGGAGCTTGCCTCCGTAGAGATAGGCCAGGTGTGCATTGGGAAGTAGACTTCACAGAAATTAAAATGGAAAATTTAGATATAAATATTTGCTAGATTTTGTAGACACCTTTTCAGGATGGGTTGAAGCCTACCCAACAAAGCATGAGACCACGAACATTGTAGCTATGAAGATCCTGGAAGAAATCCTACCCAGGTATGGCTTCCCATCCACCATCAGGTCAGATAATGAACCCGCCTTCGTCTCAAAAGTAAGTCAGGGAATAGCCGCAGCACTGGGGATGGATTGGAAATTGCACTGTGCTTATAGACCCCAGAGTTCAGGGCAGGTAGAAAGAATGAATCAGACTCTAAAAGAGACCTTAACTAAAGAGACTGGGTATCGCTCCTTCCTTTTGTCCTGTTTAGAGTAAGAAATTTACTTTATCAGCTTGGCTTTACTCCTTTTGAAATAATGTATGGACACCCTCCACCCATTATCCCTAGCCTTCAGACTGAATTGCTTGCTGATTTGGATGATACTGAATTTCTGTGTAAGCTTGACTATTTACAGCAGGTGCATAAGAGTATGTGGCCCCAGCTTAGAGCATTATATGATTCTGCTTCTATTCCTACCCCCCATTTGTTTAAACCAGGGGACTGGGTGTTTGTTGGAAGGCACAACTTGAGATCCCTGGAACCATGGTAGAAGGGACATTACATGTTGCTACTGGCTACACCCACTGCCCTTAAGGTGGACGGCATTGCTGCTTGGATCCACTGCTTCCATGCCAGACCAGCTGACCCCTTTGCCCTGGATGACCATGGGGAAACATGGGAACTCTCCAAGCATCCTACCCAAGCACTCAACATACGTCTCAAGAAAAGAAAAATGGACTGATTGTTATTGGTATTGTTGTTTAATAGTATGGGTAAGGTCAGAGAGGGACTATACCCGTTCAAAATCAAGAGCTGTTGGAGTTTAGATTTTGGCTGGAGCCACGAGATTGTGTCTCAGGACCATAAGTCAAGGGGGAGGGAGGATGAAAGGTTAAAGTTCTGAGGCAGTGACCACTTGTTGCTTGTTTAAACTAAACTTAAGAGCAGCAAATTCTGTCTAGCAGAGCAACACGTGGTGTTAATCCAAACACCTGGTTGGTTGGTTGCCTTTATAGCCCTGCAAATCTTTAGCTTGGGGCTCTCCTCCTCAGCTCTGCAGTGTCAGAGTATATGACAAGGCCTGAGCTGCAGCCTGTCTAAATAAAACCTTAAAACAGCTGTAGTGTTTGACGCTAGGTGGTCTTCTTGGTGGGGGTCCTGTGACCTGGACACAACATGCCTAATAGTAGAATTAGTAACTTTTCATTGTTGTATGCCGTAAACCACAAAATCCTATGCCTAAGCAACTCCTAAAACTGCAGATAAAGCCGGTCAGTAAATAAGGGCAAGACGTTTGCACAAATGGTGCCTGTTTTCACAGGGCACCAAAAAATACCTGAAATTCCAGGGAGCCCCTCCTGGGCTCTGGCGATTGTTACCCAACAACCAGCCCTGCAGTTGAGCACTTATCCCCCTAAGTCACATTTGTAATTTTTCCCCAGTTTAGAGCACCCCAACCCTTAAACCACCCTATCCCCTACCCCCAATCCTTTCCTGCTCTCGAATGCACCAATTATACACCAGAATTATGTTAAGATTTTCCTGCCGAATGAAATGATTCACCACAAAATGTTATGACAACTGTCAAGCCCTGACCCCACCACTAAAATTGTATAAGAAAACCTTGCAGATTCGGGGCACTCAGTGTCACTATTACCAAGTGTTCTGAGGCCCGAGTTCGTACTCGCAATAAAACAACCCTTGCTTTTTGGCTTTGACTTTGGACTCTGATGGTCATTTTGGGGGGTCTCTGAATTTGGGGTACTTCATAAGGAGCTATGAAGCTGCATTTTTCTGCAGGTTGGGGACCTGAGCTCAGCCAATGGGAGCAGAGGGGCCTCAGCTTAGCCAATGGGAGCCCAGGGACAGGGCCTGCCACATGAGCTATGAAAGGTTGCTGACTGCTGCCTCAGGCCCAGGGGCTTTCTGCAGAAGG